ACTCAAACACAGGGGAACGCCAGACAAGAAACAATCAGGGACAGCTAATCATCTCTTAACAAAGGATTCCCCCAGGCAGTAATAAGCCACACCTAAAAACTGTCAGGTCATCAAATGCTAATCAGGGGAGAACAAAATCTAGTTACCAGTACTAAAAAACCCCCTCTAAAATTATAATAGTAAATAAATAATCAGGGACAGCTAATCATCTCTCAACAAAGGATTTGCCCAGGCGGTAACAAGCCACACCTTAAAACTGTCAGGTCATCAAATGCTAATCAAGGGAGAACAAAATCTGGCTACCAGTACTAAAAAAAACTCTAAAATTATAACACAGGGGAACTCCAGACAAGAAACAATCAGAGACAGCTAATCATCTCTCAACAAAGGATTCCCCCAGGTAGTAATAAGCCACACCTAAAAACTATCAGGTCATCAAATGCTAATCAAGGAAGAACAAAATCTGGCTATCAGTACTAAAAAAAAGCTCTAAAATTGTAACAAAACTCAAACACAGGGGAACTCCAGACAAGAAACAATGAGGGACAGCTAATCATCTCCAAACAAAGGATTCCCCCAGGTAGTAATAAGCCACACCTAAAAACTGTCAGGCCATCACATGCTAATCAAGGGAGAACAAAATCTGGCTACCAGTACTAAAAAAAAAAACCCTCTAAAATTATAATAGTAAATAAATAATCAGGAACAGCTAATCATCTCTCAACAAAGGATTCACCCAGGCGGTAACAAGGCACACCTAAAAACTGTCAGGTCATCAAATGCTAATCAAGGGAGAACAAAATCTGGCTACCAGTACTAAAAAAAACCTCTGAAATTATAGCAAAACTCAAACACAGGGGAACTCCAGACAAGAAACAATAAGGGACAGCTAATCATCTCTTAACAAAGGATTCTCCCAGGCAGTAATAAGCCACACCTAAAAACTGTCAGGTCATCAAATGATAATCAAGGGAGAACAAAATCTGGCTACCAGTACTAAAAAAAACTCTAAAATTATAACATAGGGGAACTCCTTACAAGAAACAATCAGGTACAGCTAACCATCTCTCAACAAAGGATTCCCCCAGATAGTAATAAGCCACTCTTAAAGACTGTCAGGTCATCAAATGCTAATCAAGGGAGAACAATATCTGGCTACCAGTACTAAAAAAAAACCCTCTAAAATTATAACACAGGAGAACTCCAGACAAGAAACAATCAGGACAGCTAACCATCTCTCAACAAAGGATTCCCCCAGGGAGTAATAAGCCACACCTAAAAACTGTAAGGTCATCAGATGCTAATCAAGAGAGAACAAAATCTGGCTATCAGTACTCTAAAATGCTCCAAAGCCCAAAATTGCTTATGAAAATTTTCCGAAATCTCTTTTATCCTCAGTCAAGAAGCAACCTGAAGGCCTGCAGAGCTCTCTCCTGCGCATTTTATATAGTTAGAGCACCATCTGGAGGACATGGGATTCTTTTTTTCCAAATTCGAAGCCAAGCAAAATATAAATAAACACTAAAATGGAAACCAGGAAGACTTGTTTCAGTTCTTTGTTGTTGTTATTGGGTGCATCTACACCACAGAATTAACCCACTTCAATACTACTCTAGCTCCCATGGTTCAATTTAGGGGATTGTTGGAGTTGGTAGAAAATAACAACTACCACAATTCCATCACATTGACTGAGCAGCTAAAGTGGTGCCAAACGGCCTTCATGCTGTTGTGTCCATCCATCAGTGACAACTCGTGTCTGAGTAGGATGGCTTTCCAAGATGTGAATGTGGAGACCTATTCTTGAGCCACATGTGAGAAAATCGGTTTCCAGGAAGAAGATGGTCCCGCTCAGGGTTGGCTTGAGGCTGGATGGCCATCTGTCAGGGGTGATTTGAATGCAATATTCCTGCTTCTTGGGAGAATGGGGTTGGACTGGATGGCCCAGGAGGTCTCCTCCAACTCTTTGATTCTAGGATTCTATGAAGCGCCTCCTTCCTCTTGATGCATTTCTTACTTTCATCCACCATTTGTGCCTCTTCGAATTCCACAGCACTGGTGGTCACAGCTGACCTCCAGCTGGAGCGCGCAAGGGCCAGGGCTTCCCAGGTCTCACTCAGTGCCTGTGCCACCGTTTAATAATAGTTATGATGTTGTTGTACTTACTTACACAGGAAATCCCTTGTTGTCCGGGTAAGATTGTCCTCCAAGTTCGGTGTCCTGGCTGTGGATCTGTAGGAGACTGTGGAGCCCTTATTCTTGACCCACATTTTCTCCCGCAGTGAGGACATCGGTTTCCAGGTGGTCCTGGTCGGGGTTGGCTTGACGCACCTTCTTCTTGGCATGTTTTTCCCTTTCACCCTCCATTCACGCCTCTTCGAATTCCACAGCACTGGTGGTCACAGCTGACCTCCAGCTGGAGTGCTCACAGGCCAGGGCTTCCCAGTTCTCAATGTCTATGCCAGAGTTTTTAAGGTTGGCTTTGAGCCCATCTTTCAATCTCTTTTCCTGTCCACCAACATTCCCTTTTCTGTTCTTAAGTTCAGAGTAGAGCAACTGCTTTGGGAGGCGGTGGTCAGGCATCCGGACAACGTGGTCGGTCCAGCGGAGTTGATGTTGGAGGAGCATCCCTTCAATGCTGGTGGTCTTTGCTTCTTCCAGCACGCTGACGTTTGTCCGCTTGTCTTCCCAAGAGATTTGCAGGATTTTCTGGAGACAGCGCTGATGGAATCGTTCCGGGAGTTGCATGTGATGGCTGTAGACAGTCCACGTCTCGCAGGCATAGAGCAGGGTTGGGAGGACAATGGCTTTATAGACAAGCACCTTGGTATCCCTACGGATGTCCCGGTCCTCAAACACTCTCTGCTTCATTCGGAAAAATGCTGCACTCGCAGAGCTCAGGCGGTGTTGTATTTCGGTGTCGATGTTGACTTTTGTGGAGAGGTGGCTGCCAAGGTAGCGGAAATGGTCAACATTTTCTAATGTTACACCATTAAGCTGTATCTCTGGCATTGGGGAGGGGATGGCTGGTGACTGCTGGAACAGCACTTTGGTTTTCTCGATGTTCAGTGACAGGCCAAGCTTCGTGTATGTTTCTGCGAAGGTGTTTAGAGTGGCTTGTAGGTCTTCTTCTGAATGCGCACAGATGACATTGTCATCAGCATATTGGAGTTCTATAACAGATGTTGTTGTAACCTTGGTTTTGGCTTTCAGTCTGCTGACGTTGAATAGCTTGCCATCTGTCCGATAGATGATTTCCACTCTGGTGGGAAGCTTCCCATCAACAAGGTGAAGTATCATAGCGATGAAGATGGAGAATAGATAGAGATATACAGATATATTTAGTATAGATAGAGATAGACAGATATATTTCTTTTATCTATAGATAGATATAGATATATAAAAATATGGTTAGATAGTTATAGATAGAGATATAGACAGAATAGAATATAGATATACATAGATATAGATAAGATAGAGATAGATAGACATAGATATTTCTTTTATCTATAGATAGATATAGATAAGAGATAGATAGATATACATATAAATAGAGTCAGATTATAGATATAGATAAAGAGCGAGAGAGGATTATTAGCAGAGGAGGGAGGAGGCGTGGCTTGTGGCAGAGCCCAGCCAATCAGCGTCGCGCATGGGGAGTGTAAAATTATTATTATTATTTATCGTGTCATCAGCAACCATTGTATTACAATTCTAACAGAGCAAAACAAACACACAGATTAAAAAGAAAAAAAACCACACACATTTTGCAAATTTGGTATTTGGTTAAATGTCCTTTGACCAGTATCTGGCCCCTTGGAATGCCTCTGGGGTTGTCACAAGAAGGTCCTCCCTTGTGGATGTGGCAGGGCTCATGTTGCATTGCAGCAGGTGGTCAGTGGTTTGCTCTTCTCCACACTCGCATGCTGAGGATTCCACCCTGTAGCCCCATTTCTGAAGGTTGGCTCTGCATCTCGTGGTGCCAGAGCGCAATCTCAGAGCCTTCCAAGTCGCCCAGTCTTCTGTGTGCCCAGGAGGGAGTCTCTCATCTGGTATCACCTATGAATTGAGGTGCTGGGTTTGGGCCTGCCACTTTTGGACTCTCGCTTGCTGGGGTGTTCCAGTGAGTGCCTCTGTAGATCTAAGAAAACTATGTCTTGATTTAAGTCGTTGACGTGCTGGCTGATACCCAAACAGGGGATGGGCTGGAGATGTCTCTGCCTTGGTCCTTTCACTATTGGCTGCTACTTCCCGGCGGATGTCGGGTGGTGCAATACCGGCTAAGCAGTGTAATTTCTCCAGTGGTGTAGGGCGCAGGCACCCCGTGATAATGCGGCATGTCTCATTAAGAGCCACATCCACTGTTTTAGAGTGGTGAGATGTGTTCCACACTGGGCATGCATACTCAGCAGCAGTAGCATAGCGCAAGGGCAGATGTCTTCACTGTGTCTGGTTGTGATCCCCAGGTTGTGCCAGTCAGCTTTCGTATGATATTGTTTCTAGCGCCCACTTTTTGCTTGATCCAGAAGCAACCAGAGATATAGATATAGATGAGATAGAGATAAATACAAGTATAGATTTAGAGAGATAGAGATATTTCTTTTATCTATAGATAGATATAGATATAGATAGAGAGAGAGAGAGATTATTAGCAGAGGAGGGAGGAGGCGTGGCTTGTGGCAGAGCCCAGCCAATCAGCGTCGCGCGCGAGCAGTGTAAAATTGACAGGCGTGAATGAGAGGGCGGGTGACGACGCTGGCTTCCAATTGGCGGAGAGGTGCGAGGGGCGGTTGGGTGGGCGTGGCCGGGCGCGCGGGCGACCGTTGAGGAGAGAGGAGGGGAGGGGAGGGGGGCGCTCTTCCGCTGAGGACGCTTTGGTCCCTGATTGGCGGAGAGGCGCGAGGGGCGGGGACGAAGGCGCGCGCGGGCGGCGGCGATTGGTCGGCAGGGCCGGTTGGGCGTGGCCGGGCGCGCGGGCGTCCTTTGAGGCGAGCCGGGGGAAGGGCAGACGCTGCCGGAGCGGGATGACGGCGGAGTGGCAGACGGTCGGGCCCGACGGGGAGGCGGCTTCCGGAGGGAGCCCCGCACCGGTGAGCAGGGCTCATACAATACAGGCCTGGGCCAACTTGGGCCTTCCCTCCAGGTGTTTTGGACTTCAACTCCCACAATTCCTAACAGCCGGTACGGCTGTTAGGAATTGTGGGAGTTGTAGTCCAAAACACCTGGAGGGAAGGCCCAAGTTGGCCCAGGCTTGTGATACAATGATATTATTTTAGTGTATTATGATAATAGTATAATAATGTGATAGAATAATATAATAATAATAATAATAATGTATTATACTATAACAACACAGTATAATAACGTCATAATCTATAATAGCAATAGGTTCTTGTGGGTTTTTTCGGGCTACATGGCCATGTTCTAGAGGCATTTCTCCTGACGTTTCGCCTGCATCTATGGCAAGCATCCTCAGAGGTAGTGAGGTCTGTTGGCATTAGGACAATGGGTTTATATATCTGTGGAATGGCTGGGGTGGGGCAAAGAGCTCTTCTCTGCTGGAGCTAGGTGTGAATGTTTCAGCTGACCACCTTCATTAGCATTTGAAGGCCTGCCTGAGCCTAGGAAAATACCCTGTTGAGAGGTGTTAAGATGTGCCTGGTTCCACTCCTGTGGAAGGCTTCTCTCATGTCACCACATGGGAAGCTGGAGCTGACAGAAGAGAGCTCATTCTGCTCCCCAGATTCGAACCGCCAACCTTTCAGTCAGCAGTCCTGCCGACATAAGGGTTTAACCCAATGGTTCTCCAACCTGGGGTCCCCAGATGTTTTTGGCCTTCAACTCCCAGGAATCCTGGCAGCTGGTAAATTGGCTGGGATTTCTGGGTTGTAGGCCTAAAACATCTGGGGACCCCAGGTTGAGAACCACTGGTTTAACCCATTGCGTCACCAGGGGCTCCAATAATAAAATAGTAGCATGCTATCATTTCAGAAAGCAAATGTTTATAAGCAATGTTTTTATACTAATTTATGCAATGCTTTTGGTACGAAATAATTATTATTTCAGAAAGCCCCCCCCCCCCCCCCCCCCCCCCCCCCGGTGGTGCAGAGGGGTAAACCACTGAGCAGCAGAACTTGCTGACTGAAAGGTTGGCGGTTCAAATCCAGGGAGCTGGGTGAGCTCCTGCTAGTAGACCCAGCTTCTGCCAACCTATACTATGTGATATAGTATAATAGTAACACAATATAATAATATAACAACGTAACATTATAATATTGTCATTTGCAATAATAATATATATATGTGCATGTTTGTTTCTATGTGTGTGTCTCATTGAGGTTTTACTTCTTGCGGCAATACAGTACCTTTATTCTTCTTAGAAGCCCACCTTTTGCCTCCTCTAACATCATCCCGGCTGGCATTAAAATTTAAAGGGTCTCCATACAATTCATTTATTTTTAATACTTCTAGCATTTATTGTTTCAAATGTCATTGTGTCTTTGTTTTGTAAATTCTCATGTTTACACGTGTGTTGACTTATGTATTGTGTTTGACTTCTATTGTTTCATTGTGTTAGCTGCCTGGAGTCCCACAGTTGGGGAAAAGGTGTGGTATAAAATAATAATAATAATAATAATAATAATAATAATAATAATAATAATAATAACAACAACAACAATAATAATAATAATAATAATAATAATAATAATAATATGCGTGTACATGAATTGGGGTTTTTTTTTCTTCCTCACTCCATTTTCCCCTCTTTCCGCAATTTTCCCATATTTATATAGGTTATATAGTTCTCATTACTAGAGAGAGAGAGAAATTACATACATTTAAACACACACACACACATATGTATGAGAATACTACCCTAGAGAGCTGTTCTGAGTGGTCAAAGGACTGCTTTGCCAGGGATCCCTGACCTATTGGCAGCTCATTGTAATGAGTTCGCTAGGTTCTTCATTGATAAAGTCGCCTGGATCCACACCAACATTGACGCCAGTGTTGATGCTATCTCCGTGGATGTAACCACATCAAGGGAACCACTGACCGCATAGGGAAGCTGATGAGGAAACACAACACACAAACTATCTACAGAGCCACCAAGAAAATCCAACAAATGCTACGTTCAGCAAAGGACAAGAGGGATCCTCTCACCTCTGCAGGAGTCTACCGTATACCGTGCAGCTGTGGACAAGTCTACATAGGGACCACCAAACGCAGCGCCCAAACACGCATCAAGGAACATGAAAGGCACTGCAGACTACTTCAACCAGAGAAGTCAGCCATAGCAGACCACCTGATGAACCAGCCTGGACACAGCATATTATTTGAGAACACAGAAATGCTGGACCACCAACAACCACCATGTCAGACTACACAGAGAAGCCATTGAAATCCACAAGCATGTGGACAATTTCAACAGAAAGGAAGAGACCATGAAAATGAACAAAATCTGGCTACCAGTATTAAAAAACTCAAAAATTACAACAGCAAAACAACAGAAAGAAACAATCAGGCACATCAAATCACTATCAACAGATTTTCCCAGGCTCAGCCAGGCCTTCAAATGCTAATGAAGGTGTCAGTTGAAACATTCACACCTAGCTCCAGCAGGGAAGAGCTCTTTGCCCCACCCCAGCCATTCCACAGATATATAAACCCATTGTCCTAATTCCGACAGACCTCACTACCTCTGAGGATGCTTGCCATAGATGCAGGCGAAACGTCAGGAGAAATGCCTCTAGAACATGGCCCTATAGCCCGAAAAAACCCACAAGAACCTAGAGCTAGATAGGTGTGTGTGAAGGGAAGGTGAACCTACTGGTTCTCCTGGTCCTCTCAGAGGTTTTTGATGCCATCGACCATGGTATCCTTCTGGGTCGCCTCTCTGAGATGGGGCTTGGGGGCCCTGGAGGGTCATACTCAGATGTTGGCGCTGGGGGACACCTATTTGACTCCCTGGCCGGTGACCTGTGGGGTCCCTCAGGGCTCAGTTTTGTCCCCCATGTTATTCAACATCTACATGAAACTGCTGGAAGAGATCATCTGGAGTTTTGGAGTTTTGTATCCGATTTATTCAGATGACACCCAACTCCATTACTCCTTTCCACCTAAAACCAAGGATGCTATCCTGGTCCTGAGACAGTGCCTGTCATCAGTAATGGACTGGATGAGGACTAACATGATGAAATTAAATCCAGACAAGACAGAGGTACTCTTGGTTAGCTGGAAGGCAGAGCTGGGTGTGGAGTTCCAGGCTGTGTTGGATGGGGTCACACTCCCTCTGAAGACACAGGTTCATAGTCTGACGGTTCTCCTGGAGTCATCACTGACCCTGGAGCCCCAGGTGTCAGCAGTGGCCAGAGGTGCCTTTGCACAATTAAAGTTAGTGCATCAGCTGTGTCCATACCTGGAGATGCTAGACTTGGCCATGGTAGTCCATGGTTTCGTCACATCCCATTTGGATTACTGCAACACTCTTTATGTAGGGCTGCTTTTGAAGATAGTTTGAAAGCTTCAAGGGATCAGCAGCCAGATTGCTAACTGGAGCGTCATTTAGGGAGTGGACAACTCCCTTATTATGGCAGCTCCACTGGCTTTTCGATCGTGTGTAAATAAAGAATTCTAAGCAGGTAGCAACTCTGGCGGCCCAATTGCAATGGGTGCAATTTTTGCCACTGTGCATTGCATTTGGCAGCAAATACTCTTTTCCATTTCAGGGTTTGGAACATTGAGGTGTGCATTATATCGATGGTGCATTAGATTCGAGGAAATGGGGTCTTCAGTGGTGCCCTTGCACCTTGGTCTCCTTCCTTCCTTCCTAGAACCCTTAAAGAGGTCGGAAAACTCAAAAGAGCCTAAGCTCTCTTAACCAGCAGATTGCAGGGCTGTGTGGACCGTGTCTCTGGCACCTTGTTCCAAATGAGAGATGACCAACCCCCCAAAGGCATGTGCCGGATGGCTGAAAATAGCTCTCCGCTGAACCCCCTGCAAATTCCCCAGGCTCCTAATATGTCATCTTCTGCTGCTGTGTTTGGCTGGAATAAATATACACAGGCTCTTTTTCTATTTTCCTTCCATCGGTGGCTGATGTTTCTCAGTGCTTTCTTTAATGGATATGAAAAAAAAATTTCTGATAAGGAAGCAGATTAGTATGAAATGGCAACAAGTTGCCTTTTACTTTATTAATATCTCCTGGTGTTAAAAAATGCAAGCTTTTCAAGGGGCTGATTGCTGGATGGAGATGCAAGCTAACTGCACAACCAGCTTTGCATCTCAATCTAAAATACAAATATAACTATCGTCTTCGGAGTCTGCCTCTAAATTACAGAGCTAAAAGCAGGAGAAATATGATATTATAACAAACCTGCTCATAGCAGAGGCTGCCATACGTCTAGCCAACATACCCTTTGCTTGCTACACTTTGGTGGGATTTGTTCCTAAAGAGGATACAATAATAGTAATAATAATAATAATAATAATAATAATAATAATAATAATTTTATTTCTTATCTGCCTCTCCTTGTGGCTTGAGGTGGGTCACAGCACAGTTAAAACACACAAACACTGCAAAAATTCTATAAAACACACATTAAAATATAGTTCAATAAAATATCCATATTAAAATGCATTTCTTTAAAATAATATGAGCGTGTTGTAGAAGACTTTCATGGCCGGAATCACTGGGTTGCTGTGAGTTTTTTGAGCTGTATGGCCATGTTCCTGAAGCACTCTCTCCTGATGTTCCTGTGGCAGGCATCCGCAAAGGATGTGAGGTCTGTTGGAAACTAAGTGAGGTTTATCTATCTGTGGAATGTCCAGGGTGGGGGAAAGTAGTCTTGTCTGCTAGAGGTATGTGAATGTTGCAATTTGCCACCTTGATTAGCATTTAATGGCCTGCAGTTTCAAGGCCTGGTTGGCTACTGCCTGGGAGAATCCTTTGTTGGGAGTTGTTAGCTGGCCCTGATTGATTCTTGTCTGGAATTCTACTGCTTTTTGTGTCTTACTTTTTGAGAGGTTTTTTTTTTTTTTTGGTATGAAGCTGTTCATTTGATATCACATCCAATTATTATCTTTTAAGTCTCTTGTATCTATAGAACTGTCTTCCAGCACCATGTTTGAAATTCGTTTATAATACTTTTTTCAGTTAGATTTCCAGCTATTTAAAAATGCCTTTGTTTTGATTAACGTTTATTGTTATCCACAAAAACTTCTCCAACCTCTGGTGCATCCATGTATTGTTACTGTTCTGAGGGATTGAATTGGTTTTAGTTTATGGTGACCATATGAGTGAGACACTTCCAACAGCTGCTCTTGACCACCCATGTAACATCTCTAGGATCTTTGGGATTGGATAGCACAAAAGCAAACTTGTTAGGACAAGGACCCTTTCTTCCGATACATTGCCTGTCTCAGGTCTATGTCAAAACTCAATTCAGCAATCAACAATTGTTCTTCAAATTTTGTATAGCTGTGGTAGTATGGGCCTTTTGATGTGGTGGTTCTATTTGTAGGATTCCCTGTTTGACATCTTTTTTCTGTTTCGTTGCAATCCAGAACTGCAGTGTTCTCATCAACCAGCTGAGAGAGATCACGGGCATCCAAGATCCTTTGTTCCTCCATGAGGCCTTAAAGGTAAATGTCCTCAGATGACAGTCTGGTCCACCTGAGGACATTCTAGATGTCCTCTTGGTTTCTGGCATTTCTGCTCTACCTGCCCTATGAAGTTGCTAGTGCAGAGCTTTCCCAACTGTGTATTGCAACATCTAGGCACTCAGCCTCAGTTCAAAGAGCTTCAGAGAAGGTGACTACCAGACCCCTAGACAGTCTATACTTCTTAAGAATTGGAAAAGGCCCCCAAAGGGCATCTAGTCCACCCCCTTCAGTTAAAACAGGAATACACAATCAGAGCGTCCCTGAATGACCATCCAGCCTTTGTTTAAAAACCCCCAGAGAGGTTTAATCCACACAGAAGCAGAATGCTGGTACTGTTCAAGTGTATGGACTGTTACAATGTTTATGATTTGCACAATTTGTTGATTGAGTTGTAGTAATGACCACTAAATTGGATAACTTTCTAATTAAGAAAAGAAAACGTGTTGACAATGATGTTTGCGATGAACCTCATGGAGCGGCTATAAAGGAAGCCGTGGGAATCAACTGTAGGACATAAGTGTAACAGTTCAATTCTTTTATGCAATATATATTATATATATTGTATGAAACTATGAGTTGGTTTAACCTCCTTTTTGCTAGTAAAATGGAATTGCTATCGAGAAAGGATGCATGTCTAAAAAGCGTGTTACCAACATGAAAAGTTTTGAAAGCTCTGTTCTAATGTCTTTATATTTGTCCTGCTCACCACGATGAACTATAGCTTGACACAAGTGTGCAACAATTGTGTAGCTTTTGAGCACGTCTCAATGTTTTTTGCCTTTTATCCCTAGGCTGCCAATGGAAACCTTGTGCAGGCGGTCACCTTCCTCTCTGAGGCTCACGCCAAAGAGTCCAGCCAAGAGGGCACGGCCACAGAGGTATCCAATGGCGGAAGAAGTGCGCTTGTTTTGGAGCAGGGAGCAGGTAAGTGCCTTTTAGGCATGTGTTTGCATCATTGGGGCCTGCTTCAAACTCCCTTCTTCTGACTCAGATAAAGAAAGGGATGAGAGGGCATTGGAGGGCAGGCTGTCCTCCCTCTGTGTGTGCTTACTTATATCTGCTCTCCTTGGTTTCCAGTTGGTGTAACACAAGATGATGGAGCTTCTCTTCAGGAAGGCATTCCTTCTGACATCCAGGATTTTCAAGGCACCCAGGTCACAGAGCAGGATCCAAACGCAGCTGTGAATGAGTAAGATGTTTTCTGCTTTCTCTTCTTTGTACACATCTGTCCCTTGTGGAAATTTATACAAGTCTCCTACATTGTAAAGTGTAGTGGAAAGATGAGCACATTTGTTTCCATTTTTCCCACTTTCTGCCTCAGATTAGTCAGATATTTCTCTAAATAAAAATGTAATGTTCGTTTGTGGGATTAACATAACTCCAAAACCATTGGATGAATTGACTCCAAATTTGGACACCATACCCCTAACAGGCCAATGAAAGAAAAGAAAAAGGAAAGGACTTAAAAAACCCCAAAAGCTAAATGACAATACAGAAAAAAAGAAGGAAGAGGGAGGGAAGGAAGGAGAGAAAGAAAGAAAGAAAGAAGAGAAAGAGGGAGGTAAAAAAGAAGGAAAGAGAGAAGGAAGCATGGAAGCAAAGAGTGAAGGAAGGAAGGAAAGAGATAGAAAAGGAGAAAAGGAGATAAAGGGGAAGGAAAAGAAAAAGGGGAGGGGAGGAAAGAAAAAGGTAGAGAAGGAAGGAAAGGAAGGAAAGAGGGAGCAAGGGAAGGAGGGAAAGAAGGAGAGAAAGCAGGAGGGAAGGAAAGAGAAGGAAGGATGGAAGCAAAACGAAGGAAGGAAGAAAAGAGGTAGAGAAGGAAGAAAGGAGAGAAAGGGAGGGAAGGAAAAAGAGAAGGAAGGATGGATGCAAAAAGCGAAGGAAGGAAGGAAAAGTACAGAAGGAAGGAAGGAGAGAAAGAGGGAGGGAAGGAAAGAAGAGGGAAGGAAAGATGTAGAGAAGGAAGGAAAGAGAAGGAAAGAAGAAAAGGGAAGGAAGGAAAGAGGGAGTGAAGGAGAGAAAGAGGGAGGGAAGGTTGGCCACAGTAACGCGTGGTGGGTACAGTTAGTCCTTATCTAATTCATCTCATGTGTTGCTCTGGTCTCTCTGTAGCAAACCATTTGGGAAGCCCAGCTACAATATATTCTGATTGCTCTTCCTGAGCAGATTGTCCATGTGGGCAAAAAACAGCCTATATAAGGCCATTTTGCACATCAGTGCTCCTGACTATTCTTGTGAGCATGGATACAAACATACGCCTCCCATTTTGGGAACCCTTGGCTTCATATTCCTTTTCTCTAGCACATCCCCAGGAGTAAGGGAAGCCAGAAGCAGGCACAGCCTTCTCTACCCCTGTCGGGTTACTTCTTGAACTATGTCTGCCTGGCAGGTCCTGTGCATCTGACGTGGCCGAAAGCACAAATCGCTCAAAGAGGAAACGCTGTGAAGTTTGGGGAGAGCAAACCACCCTGAGCGACTGGCGGAGGACTGGAGATTGGCCGGTGGGGCTGAAAAACATTGGAAACACTTGCTGGTTCAGTGCGGTCATACAGGTAAGAAAAAAGGTGCTGCAAAGGCTTGTTCAAGCTGGGTTTAAAAAAGGCAGAGGAACGAGAGACCAGATTGCCAATATCCGCTGGATAATGGAGAAAGGCAGGGAGTTTCAGAAAAACATCTACTTCTGCTTCATTGACTATTCTAAAGCCTTTGACTGTGTGGATCATAATAAATTGTGGCAAGTTCTTGGTGGGATGGGCATCCCAAGCCCCCTTCCCTCTCTCCTGAGGAATCTGTACAAGGACCAAGTAGCAACAGTCAGAACTGACCATGGAACAACAGACTGGTTCAAGATTGGGAAAGGCGTACGGCAAGGCTGCATCCTCTCACCCAACCTTTTAACTTGTATGCAGAACACATCATGCGATGTGCGGGGCTTGATGAATGCAAAGCTGGGGTGAAAATTGCTGGAAGAAACATTAACAACCTCAGATATACAGATGACACCACTCTGATGGCCAAAAGCGAGGAGGAGCTGAGGAGCCTTCTAATCAAGGTGAAAGAAGAAAGCGCAAAAGCTGGGTTGCAGCTAAACATCAAAAAAACCAAGATTATGGCAACAAGAATGATTGACAACTGGAAAATAGAGGGAGAAACCGTGGAGGCCGTGACAGACTTTGTATTTCTCGGTGCAAAGATTACTGCAGATGCAGACTGTGGCCAGGAAATCAGAAGACGCTTACTTCTTGGGAGGAGAGCAATGTCCAGTCTCGATAAAATAGTAAAGAGTAGAGACATCACACTGGCAACAAAGATCCATAGTCAAAGCCATGGTATTCCCTGTAGTCACCTACGGATGTGAGAGCTGGACCTTAGGGAAGGCTGAGCGAAGGAAGATAGATGCCTTTGAGCTGTGGTGTTGGAGGAAAGTTCTGAGAGTGCCTTGGACTGCGAGAAGATCCAACCAGTCCATCCTCCAGGAAATAAAGCCTGACTGCTCACTGGAGGGAAGGATACTAGAGACAAAGTTGAAGTACTTTGGCCACATCATGAGGAGACAGGAAAGCCTAGAGAAGACAATTATGCTGGGGAAAGTGGAAGGCAAAAGGAAGAGGGGCCGACCAAGGGCAAGATGGATGGATGGCATCCTTGAAGTGACTGGACTGACCTTGAGGGAGCTGGGGGTGGTAACGGCCGACAGGGAGCTCTGGCGTGGGCTGGTCCATGAGGTCGCGAAGAGTCGGAGACGACTGAACGAATGAACAACAACAACAAAGGCTTTTGGGTGTCCCGGGCCAAGGATTTCATGTCATAGCAAACCAGGCAAGCTTACGAGTACTTGAAAAAGTAAGGCCCAGGAGAGTTGTGGCTGCCTCTCAGAGTTTGGGAATTAGTATCAAAGAGCTTTCTGGGTCCCTATTGTGTGCTTGCTATAGGGTAGCTCAGGCATGGGCAAACTTAGGCCCTCCCTCCAGGTGTTTTGACTCCAACTCTCGCCATTCCTAACAGCCTCAGGCCCTTTCCTTTTCCCCCTCAGCCGCTTAAGCTTTAGGAATGGTGGGAGTTGGAGTCCAAAACACCTAGAGGGAGGGCGTAAGTTTGCCCATGCCTGGGATAGCTGGTAGAAGATACCATCCTCTTTTGGGCTGAATAATAGTAATGGTAATGGTAATGGTAATAATAATAATAATAATAATAATAATAATAATAATAATAATAATAGTTCAGTGTATTTTTGAAGGTTTTCACAACCGGAATCACTGGGGCATTGTGTGGTTTCCAGGCTGTACAGCCTGCATCTGTGGCTGACATTTTCATATATGTAATGTGTGAAATTCCTGTGTATTCGACATAAACATACTTGAGTAAATCCGCCTCTGAAGATGCCAGGCACAGATACAGACGAAACGTCAGGAGAAAATGCTGCCAGAACATGGACATACAGTTTGGAAACCACACCACACCCCATAATAATAGTTGTTATTACCATTACCATTATTATTATGATACGGTTCTTGCCCAGCTTACTTGTCCAAACGTATCTCCCTCTTATGTCCCACCTCGAAATTTACGATCTTCCGGGGAGTCCCTGCTCTCGTTCCCACCTTTGTCGCAAATGTGCTTGGTGGGGATGAGGGACAGGACCTTCTCGGCGGTGGCCCCCGCCTATGGAACTCGCTCCCCAATGAAATTAGGTCAACGGCTTCCCTCCTTTCCTTCAGGAAAAAGTTGAAGACGTGGCTATGGGACCAGGCATTCGGATAGCAGGTTGACAATAAAAATGATGTCAATACTATGGAAAACAGACTATGGACGGGCTTCGGATTAAGTTTTTGATTGTAGAACTCGGACTTGACATGCCAACTAATTCAATTTTGTACTATTTTATATGTTTTTAATTTAATGTTAGTATTTTACTGATTCTGTAACTGTTTCTTTTTCTGTTTGATGTATATGTGGGGCATCAAATTGTTGCCATCTGTAAGCTGCCCTGAGTCCCCCTTCGGGGGTAGAGAAGGGCAGGGTACAAATGTTTGAAATAAATAAATAAATAAATCCCTACTTCTCCTTTCACCCCTGGTGGCACAGCAGGTTAAACCGCTGAGCTGCTGAACTTGCTGACCGAAAGGTCAGCAGTTTGAATCCGGGAAGCGGGATGAGCTCCCACTGTTAGCCTCAGCTTCTGCCAAGCTAGCAGTTCAAAAACATGCAAATATAAGTAGATAAATAGGTGCTGCTTCTGAGGGAAGGTAACAGTTCTCCATGCAGTTGTGCTGGCCACATGACCTTGGAGGTGTCTCTGGACAACACCGGCTCTTCGGCTTAGAAATGGAGATGAGCACCAGAGTCCCAAAGTTGGACACGACTAGACTTAATGTCAAGGGGAAACCTTTACCTTTACCTATTTTTCAGCTTTCAGTGGAACATCCTCTTACCTGAGTTTCAAGGTGAAAGAAGTATAAACACAGCCAAAGTTTCACATAAGCCGTTCTAGTTGTGTCCAAATTCTGGGTGTCATGTATTTAATGGCACGTGTTGGTAAACCAGTGCTCTGAATTCTGCCCCCCTTTCAGCATCATGGAAGAAGGCAAGCAGTTGCGACCTTTTGTAAAGGCGCTCAAGACTTGGCTGTTTGGTTGTTTAAGTAAAGTGATCAGATCTAATTTGCCAAATAGTCACTGTTGTATGTTTTTATGTAGAATGTTTTTATATTGTGTAAATGCTATTTTGAATTGTAAGTCGCTCAGAGCACCTTGGTAGAGAGCCACTAATTAAGAAATAAAGTGAAGTGAAGTGAAATAAGCTAGCTCTATTGGCTTGGGGGGCAGGTACTTTAGAGCATGCCCCTTCAACCTGTGACCCTCCAGCTATTTGGGCCCTCAGCTCACAGAATATTTGACTATTGAACAAGCTGGCTATGGCTTCTGGGAGTTGGAAGCCCAAACCGGGGGGGGGGGGGGGGGGGGGGGGCATGGGTTAAAGAGGCCTACTTTAAAGAGGCCTTCTCTTTGATCATCTGGAGAGGCCCTACTCACGCTCCCACCTCAATCGCAGGCGTGATTGGTGGGGACGAGGTAGAGGGCCTTCTCGATCGTGGACCCCTGACTCTGGAACTCGCTCCCCAAGGACATTAGACATGCCCCAACTCTGGCAGTCTTTAAGAGGAGCCTGAAAACGTGGTTGTTCCAGTGTGCCTTCCCAGAATAAGGAAACCCTAAGCAACATGTCCCTAATCGCACTTTACTAATGATCTAGGATTGTCTGCTCGCTCCATCTTCTCCAAAAATTCTATCCTAGTTATATTTCACCTGGTCATGCTCAGCATTATTTTTAAAATTTTAACTATTACATTTGGCCCAGTCATAGGTTTTTAAACGTTGTTGTGTTGTTGATGTTTACTGCTTATTTTCTGTTTATGAGTTTTATTTTATTGTTTTGTATTACTGTTGTTTTTACTGATGTATTGTGGGCTCGGCCTCATGTAAGCCGCACCGAGTCCCTTGGGGAGATGGTAGCGGGGTATAAATAAAGTTATTATTATTATTATTATTATTATTATTATTATTATTATTATAGTCTTTATATGAGTTGCTGACAGATGGAAAGCCAGGGCTCACGTCAAAGTCACATCGGGTCAACACAACATTTTTTTCCTACCTGTGTTTAGGAAACAACATTTGAAGCAGCCATGAATTTACCGAGAGGAATGGATTTGAGGTTATATGATGCGCTTGTCTGAATTCAGTGAGGTAGTAATTTTAATTTAGGGCCTTTTCTCAGTCTCTTTTCCAGCTTCCCGAATTCCGTCGGCTGGTGCTCAGCTACACTCCGGACTCTGGAAGTGACAACTGCTGCAGCCGAAGCGTACGTCTCGTGCCTTGCTCCTATGTCATTGTCTAAATCGGGGGGTTGAGGCCATGTTGATGAATGTGCAGGAGCCTTGTTTTTCTTGGCTGCAAATCTGGTTGCTGCTTCCGTGGCCCGTCCATGACGCATAGAGTGTGACGGTGAAGCCCAGGAAAGTGGATCAGATGAGCTGCTTGTATGAACTTCATTTCCCAAATAAACCTCCTGCAGATAGTCCAGCAAATCTGGATTCTGAACATCAGCAGCTGTCCCTGCAACTGACTCCATTAAAAAAACTGTTCTTTTCATAGTATGCACTTCATTAATACTTCCCAGAGGGCAGCAGTTCAAGTTGCTGTTTATTTCAGCATCTATGTTGTGTTCTGCAGCCAAAGATAATAAAAAATAAGGCAATTCAAGCCACTTAAAACAGGACAGTCTCCCCCCACACATGACAAAACATGTGAAATCCATAAAAATAAAAATGTAATGTTCACTTGTGGGATTAACATAACTCAAAAACCACTGGACGAATTGACACCAAATTTGGACACAGGACACCTCTCGGGCCAACAAGTGATCATCACTCATAAAAACACTGAAAAACACAGCAGAAGAGACTTAAAAAGCACAAAAATTACATTACAACGCATGCGCAAAACTACATACACATATATATGCAAACAGACATATACATATATATACATACACAAATACACAGACTGAGCCACAGCAACACATGGCAGGGGATGGCTAGTTCCTTATATATTTTCCCCCCTTGTAGAAAAAGAGGAATATCGCCTTCATGCTGGAACTCCAGTGCCTTTTTGCTTTAATGCTGGGAACGCGCCGCAAGTTTGTGGATCCCACGGCAGCCCTTGATCTTCTCAGAGGTGCTTTCAGGTCTCCTGAGGAACAGCAGGTAAGGCAAGTCATGGGTCCTTCCCTAGATCACTGCCATCCATTTGCAACCTGGTCACTCATCATCTTTGTCATTTTAGACCATATTCAGATGTTTTAAAACCCCGTAAAAGCAGGCATGGGTAAAAGTCGACCCTCCAAGTGTTTTGGGCTTCAACTCCCACAATTTCTAAGAGCCTCAGGTCCCTTCCTTTTCCACTCAAAACACCTGGAGGCTGAAGTTTGCCCACATCTGCTCTAGTGCAACATGCTGGCTTTCATTTTGGTTCAGTTATCCCCTACTTAAAAAGAAACCCAAGAATGTATTGTCGAAGGCTTTCATGGCTGGAATCACTAGGTTCTTGTGGGTTTTTTTCGGGCTATAGAGCCATGTTCTAGAGGCATTTCTCCTGACGTTTCGCCTGCATCTATGGCAAGCATCCTCAGAGGTTGAGAAGGTCTGTTGGAAGTAGGAAAAATGGGCTTATGTATCTGTGGAATGGCTGGGGTGGGGCAAGGAGCTCTTCCCTGCTGCAGTTAGGTGTGAATGTTTAGCTGATCACCTTCATTAGCATTTGAAGGCCTGCCTGAGTCTGGGAAAATCTGTTGCTGGGAGGTGTTAATCTGTGCCTGGTTGTTTCCTCTCTGCTGTTTTGCTGTTGTAATTTTAGAGTTTTTTAATACTGGTAGCCAGATTTTGTTCATTTTCATGGTCTCTTCCTTTCTGTTGAAATTGTCCACATGCTTGTGGATTTCAATGGCTTCTCTGTGTAGTCTGACATGGTGGTTGTGAGAGTGGTCCAGCATTTCTGTGTTCTCAAATAATATGCTGTGTCCAGGTTGGTTCATCAGGTGCTCTGCTATGGCTGACTTCTCTGGTTGAAGTAGTCTGCAGTGCCTTTCATGTTCCTTGATGCGTGTCTGGGCGCTGCGTTTGGTGGGCCCTATGTAGACTTGTCCACAGCTGCATGGTATACGGTAGACTCCTGCAGAGGTGAGAGGATCCCTCTTGTCCTTTGCTGAACGTAGCATTTGTTGGATTTTCTTGGTGGGTTTGTAGATTGTTTGTATGTTGTGTTTCCTCATCAGCTTCCCTATGCAATCAGTGGTTCCCTTGATGTATGGCAGGAACACTTTTCCTCTGGGTGGATCTTCATCTTGACTCTCGTGGCTTGTTCTTGGTCTTGCAGCTCTTCTGATGTCTGAGGTGGAGTATCCATTGGCCTGGAGAGCCCAGTTGAGGTGGTTCAGTTCATCTTGGAGGAGGTGGGGTTCGCAGATTCTTTTTGCACGGTCTGCCAAGGCTTTAATGGTGCTTCTTTTTTGACTTGGGTGATGGTTGGAGTTTTTATGTAGATATCTATCTGTGTGTGTGGGTTTTCTGTAGACGGTGTGACCCAATTGTTGATCTGGTTTGCGGATGACTAGGACATCTAGAAAAGGCAGTCTTCCTTCATTTCTTTTTCCATGGTGAACTGGATGTTTGGGTGGATGCTGTTCAGATGGTCCAGGAACCTGTTGAGTTCTTCTTCTCCATGGCTCCAAATGGTGAAGGTGTCATCCACATATCTGAACCATATCGTGGGCTTTTTGGTTGCTGTCTCCAGGGCTTGTTCTTCAAAGTGTTCCATGTAGAAGTTAGCTATGACCGGGCTGAGAGGGCTCCCCATAGCTACTCCATCTTTCTGTTCGTAGAATTCACTGTCCCACTGAAAGTAGCTGATGGTAAGGCAATGGTGAAACAGAGCCGTGATGTCTTCTGGGAACCTCTGGTTGATGAGTGCCATGGTGTCTGCTACCGGGACCATGGTAAATAGAGACACCACATCGAAGCTGATCAGTTTGTCGTTTGTATTTAGCTTGAGATTGCTGATTTTTTCTATGAAGTGGGCTGAGTCCTTGATGTAGTGTGTAGTGAGCCCAATATGGCTTTGTAACTGTGCAGCAAGAAATTTTGCTAGGTCGTATGTGGGGGATCCAATGGCACTCACGATGGGTCTGAGTGGGGTGGAGTCCTTATGGATTTTTGGGAGTCCATAAAGCCTGGGTGGATGGGCTTCCGATTTACATAGCTGTTGTCGTATGTCAAAGTTTATGGAGGAGTTCTTAATCAGAGTGTTGGTTTTCTTGGTTATTTTGGCAGTTGGGTCTTGCTTGAGTTTTTTGTCAGCAATTTATCGCCTCCCCGAGGAGGAAGCAGAAGAAGTACGAGCAGAAACAGCAAGGATCCTGAAAAAGGCAAAACTTCCCTCCAGTAACATTACTAGGAAGGAAAGACAAGCCATCAGAGAACTGAATTCAGATCCGGATATCCTCGTTATGCCAGCAGACAAGGGGAATGCCACAGTTATCATGCATACAGAACAATACAAGGAGAAGATCAGAAAACTCCTGGACCCTACTATATACAAAAAACTCAAGCAAGACCCAACTGCCAAAATAACCAAGAAAACCAACACCCTGATTAAGAACTCCTCCATAAACTTTGACATACGACAACAGCTATGTAAATCGGAAGCCCATCCACCCAGGCTTTATGGACTCCCAAAAATCCATAAGGACTCCACCCCACTCAGACCCATCGTGAGTGCCATTGGATCCCCCACATACGACCTAGCAAAATTTCTTGCTGCACAGTTACAAAGCCATATTGGGCTCACTACACACTACATCAAGGACTCAGCCCACTTCATAGAAAAAATCAGCAATCTCAAGCTAAATACAAACGACAAACTGATCAGCTTCGATGTGGTATCTCTATTTACCATGGTCCCGGTAGCAGACACCATGGCACTCATCAACCAGAGGTTCCCAGAAGACATCACGGCTCTGTTTCACCATTGCCTTACCACCAGTTACTTTCAGTGGGACAATGAATTCTACGAACAGAAAGATGGAGTAGCTATGGGGAGCCCTCTCAGCCCGGTCATAGCTAACTTCTACATGGAACACTTTGAAGAACAAGCCCTGGAGACAGCAACAAAAAAGCCCACGATATGGTTCAGATATGTGGATGACACCTTCACCATTTGGAGCCATGGAGAAGAAGAACTCAACAGGTTCCTGGACCATCTTAACAGCATCCACCCAAACATCCAGTTCACCATGGAAAAAGAAAATGAAGGAAGACTGCCTTTTCTAGATGTCCTAGTCATCCGCAAACCATATCAACAATTGGGTCACACCGTCTACAGAAAACCCACACACACAGATAGATCTCTACATAAAAACTCCAACCATCACCCAAGTCAAAAAAGAAGCACCATTAAAGCCTTGGCAGACCGTGCAAAAAGAATCTGCGAACCCCACCTCCTCCAAGATGAACTGAACCACCTCAACTGGGCTCTCCAGGCCAATGGATACTCCACCTCAGACATCAGAAGAGCTGCAAGACCAAGAACAAGCCACGAGAGTAAAGACAAAGATCCACCCAGAGGAAAAGTGTTCCTGCCATACATCAAGGGAACCACTGATCGCATAGGGAAGCTGATGAAACACAACATACAAACAATCTACAAACCCACCAAGAAAATCCAACAAATGCTATGCTCAGCAAAGGACAAGAGGGATCCTCTCACCTCTGCAGGAGTCTACCGTATACCATGCAGCTGTGGACAAGTCTACATAGGGACCACCAAACGCAGAAATGCCCAATCACGAATCAAGGAACATGAAAGGCCCTGCAGACTACTTCAACCAGAGAAGTCAGCCATAGCAGAGCACCTGATGAACCAACCTGGACACAGCATATTATTTGAGAACACAGAAATGCTGGACCACACCAACAACCACCATGTCAGACTACACAGAGAAGCCATTGAAATCCACAAGCATGTGGACAATTTCAACAGAAAGGAAGAGACCATGAAAATGAACAAAATCTGGCTACCAGTATTGAAAAACTCTAAAATTATAACAGCTAAACAACAGAGAGGAAACCAGGCACAGATTAACACCTCCCAGCAGCAGATTTTCCCAGGCTCAGGCAGGCCTTCAAATGCTAATGAAGGTGATCAGCTAAACATTCACACCTAACTGCAGCAGGGAAGATCTCCTTGCCCCACCCCAGCCATTCCACAGATATATAAACCCATTTTTCCTACTTCCAACAGACCTTCTCAACCTCTGAGGATGCTTGCCATAGATGCAGGCGAAACGTCAGGAGAAATGCCTCTAGAACATGGCTCTATAGCCCGAAAAAACCCACAAGAACTTAATAAGGTAAAATGAGCTTTGTCTCTAAATAGAGCTAGCTTTTCCCCATTTTATGCATGCAGTTCCTATTTATTTATCGCATCGGAAGCGAATTGAGGATTCAGTTATCATGTATTTAAAAACACAAAGTATTCTACTAGATTTCCTTTGACCAGAAGCTGGCTACGTGGAGTGCCTCTGGTGTTGCTATACGGAGGTCAGGCTGCAGTGTAGTAGGTGGTTTGTGACTTGCTCTTCTCCACACTTACATGTTGTGGACTCCACTGTGTAGCCCTATTTCTTAAGCTTGGCTCTGCATCTCATGCCAGAGTGCAGTTTGTTCAGCACCATCCAGATTTCCCAGCCTACTGTGTGCCCAGGGGGAGTTTCTTATCTGGTCTTAGCCTGCCACTTTTGGACTCTTGCTTGCTGAGGTGTTCTTGCGATTATCTCTGTGGGTCTTAGGAAGCTGTTTCTTTGGCATGCTGGCTTATATCTGAAGAGAGGAATGGTCAGAGATGTCAATGCCTTGGTCCTTTCATTATTGGCTGTTACTCCCCAACGGATGTCAGGTGGTGCAGTACCGGCTAAACAGTATAATTTCTCTAGTGGTGTAGGGTGCAGACATGCTTTGATAATGTGGCATGTCTAATTAAGAGACACATTCCATACTGGACATGCATACTCAGCAGCAGAGTAGCAAAGGGCAGATATCTTCACTGTATCTGGTTGTGACCCCTAGGTTGTGCCAGCTTTCATATGATGATATTTCTAGCACTCACTTTTTGCTTGGTGTTCAAGCAGTACTTCTTATAAGTCGGTTCCTGTGTATTCCACATAAATATCCTTGAGCAAATCACAAACAGAAAATGCAACAAGTTGTGTAATAGATTTTAAAAATGGAAACTGGTACTCATGAAAATATTTCCCTCTTTCTGACTCTTGTTAGCAAGACGTGAGCGAGTTTACCCACAAACTTCTAGATTGGCTGGAGGACGCTTTCCAGCTGGCTGCAAATGTTAAGTAAGTCCATAGAAGCTTTCGCTGGACAATTGCTTTGGGTAGCTGACATGGAATGGAGCTGAATTTTAACTTAAGCGTTGGACAGGATGAAACCTAACATGTGGAAATTAAATTGGGTATTTTGTTACATAGTGTTATATGTAATGGATAAATTTAGAATAATGTAGAAGGGATACAGTTGAGACAGTGCTGGATGTTTATAATGCTATATCAGTCATGGGAGGGTTGGGGAGCATAGATCTGGGAATAGAAAGATGTGGTAAGACAATTGTATTATGTTTTAAATGTTTTGGAATTCTGTAACATTTAATTAAAATATTGAAAATAGTGAAGAAAGACCCACATTGTGTTATAATATTCCTTTATTCTCCCCTGAATCCACAGCTCCCAGGATAAATCTGAGAACCCCATGGTTCAGCTCTTTTATGGAACTTTCCTGTCTGAAGGTATTCATGAAGGTAAGCTGGTGGTTGATGAAGTGTCTGCTTGATGGTTGCAGATTATCACATTGTAGGCTATTAATAGATGTGCCAAAGAGCAGTGGCCAAATCCAACCAAAACAGAATGCTTTCCTACTGAAGGGACAAGAGAGGAGTTGTTTATTTGCTTTGAGGTGTTTTGAGCAGGGTGGTGAACTTATCAATGTTGTTTGCACAAACCACACCATAACATCAGCCGTTTCCTCCTCTTGTGTCCAGGCAAGGCCTTCTCCAAGATTGAGACCTTTGGCCAGTATCCCTTGCAGGTGAATGGCTATAAGGACTTGCAGGAATGTCTGGAAGGAGCCATGCTGGAGAAAGAGGCCGAAGCGTCTTCAAGCAACCAGTCGGTGCAATACAGGCAAGAGGTGAGTCTCCTCTGCTTGCACAGAATTGCCGAACTCTCAGCTGCCACCAAAAAAAAAAAAAGCATTGGTGATTGTTTAGGCAGAAAGTGTAGACATGATAACAAATGTACCGCATTTATGGCTGACATCACACACAAAGCTAGTGGTGCCAGATAAATAAAATCACTGCTCTGTGGGACCTGTGCCAGGCTTTTGCCTTGTAAAGGAGCTGTAACATGTCAGCCTGATAAAAATGTCTCTCTTTCTATTGAAGCCTGCCTGTTACCTGAGCAGACAAGAACATCTGCCTCCTCTGTATTTTCAGAGGGTAAAACTACAGTGCTTAACTTGATGGTAGGCTTCCTTTTTGCCATTTGTTATCCTTCCTTTCAGTGTGCATTGCCCTCTCGTCTTCTCTCTCTGTAAAAATCTTCAGTCTTGACTGATTATCCCAATAGAAATCATGAACCAGTCGTAGGCCTGACAAATGCTTTAGAATGCGATGCTGTATATGTCTGCGGCAGTTAGATGCTGATTGTGTGGCGACTTCACTGGATGAAAACCCATTCCTGCTTTGAAACCTCCCATCTCTTTCCAGCGCTGGTTCACCAAGCTGCCTCCCGTCCTGACTTTTGAACTTTCCCGGTTTGAGTTCAACCAGTCGCTTGGGCAGCCAGAGAAGATACACAACAAGCTGGAATTCCCACAGGTCATTTATATGGACAGGTGAGGGGTTTGCGAGGATGTCTTCTTGCAAATGGGGTGAGGATTGAGGAGTGAACGTACACACCCACACACTGTATATACTGTATATACTCGAGTCTAAGCTTAGTTTTCCCTACGTGTCTGTGCTGTGAATGCGCACTAATGGTACTCTCTCTGCGCATGCGCAGCCTCATCCGGAATCTTCAGTTAAATTTTAAAAGAAAAAGCGGTTGGCCCCGCGCACACTCCCCAAATAGCATAAATAGCCCGCGGCTGGCCAACCGCCTCCAGATCTCTTCATCCGCGCCTAAGAAGCAGCAAGTTCGGATCTTCCTACGTTCAGATCTGTTTATTGAGATATTATTGTTATGATGTCTCTTACAAAGGGCTTTAAACGTTGCTCTGCCTGCCAGAGTAATTACCCTGACAATGATGCACATTCGCTGTGCATCGCCTGTTTGGGTGAAGGACATTTATCGCAGACTTGCTCCATATGCCAGTCCTTCACCCCTCAGACAAGGAAAAATAGAGAAATTCGCTTAAAGGCTGCCCTTTATGAAAGGGCTCTTCTCCCTGTTATGACTAATTCTATTGAGCCAAAAGATAAGAGCTTACCTGCTCTGGCGTCCAAAACGAAGCCGGCAAAGAAAATAAGGAAAATGAAAAATATTGAGGGCAAATCGACCACGGCGAGGCTTCCTAAGCAAGCCGCAGCCCCTCAGCAGGTTCCCTCGGCCGACATGGGGAAGGTGACCCCTCCACGTGGCTTTACCAATGCCGAGGAGCTGGCAGCAGCCTCCGCTCGCCCCGCGCGAGCCCAGGGGGATATTGAAAGCGAAAGAGAGCCGAGATCGGCTACAGCACATCCCGCGCGTGCGCGGGAGGAGACCGGCGTCACGCCGCCGATGCCGACGCTCTCGGCGCCAGCTCCTCCCATGGCCCAAGGGACTGCATTAGAGGAGGAGCCTAGACAAGCGGTTTATGAAGGGCTCCTCTTATCAGCTGGCGCGAGCGCTGGGGATTTGGAACAGCGCCGCGCAAATTCAGCTCTGCCTTCCGCTTCGGGGATGATAGACGCTGGGGCCCCGAGTCGGCGCCGTGCTCGCGCTCCTTCCCGCAGGAGCAAGGGCAAGAGGAGGCGCCGGGATCGATCTGGTTCTAGTGACTCCTCCTCCTCCTCCTCCTCCTCCTCATCGACCAGTTCTTGTTCTGATTCATCGTGCTCTGCTAGAATGCGCAGACAGGCACGTGCAAAAAAGGCGAAGAAAGCATCCTCTACAAGGCCTTCCCGTCAGGACAAAAGGGAGCTTCCCCTTCCTCACCCAGGATTTTATGAGATTACACCTCGAGGGAAATCATCTATTGTGGTCCACCACCGCCCATTTCTCCTGATCAAGAGAATTTACGTCTTCCTAGGTGTCGTAATGTGGACTATGGACTTGAGAGTCATTTGACAGGACAAGAGACAATCCCTGTGTGCATGAGAAATGAGCGCCAGGGATATTATTATTCCCAAAGGGGTACACCGTTGCCTTCTGTCTGTGAGGATCATCTACAGGCTGACAATATTGACTCAGATGCCTCTGTAGAGATGATGGAGGCCCCTGTTGTAGACAATGATAAGGAGGTTAATGTGGATCGTATGGATGACTTTAATAAATTTGGGCAAATGCTTGGGAGGATGATAACTGCATTGAGCATCCCTGCTCCCAAACCTGTTTCTGCAGTGGATGACCATATGTTTACACCTGAGGAACAGGACACTTCCTCTTCTACACTACTCCCAACARTGCRATATTTGCTAAAGTTGACAAAGGTCCCTGARATTTCCCCGTCACTTGCCCCGGCTATTCCTAAGCGGGTTGACCTTTTCTACAAAGTAGATCTTTCAACAACAAATTGGATTGCCCGCCCRACTGCTCCTAATACGGTGGTGGCGGAGGCAGCTAGGTCTAGGAGACCTAAGAAATATTCTGTGTCACCACCAGATAAAGAAGGCAAAAAGATAGATTCCCTTGGGAAGAAAGTGCATGTAGCTGCGGGGTTATTTGTTAGGATGGCTCATTATGCCACCTACATGAGTGGATACCAGAGTTTTCTCTGGAATAAGATGCTACCTTTTATCCATCTCCTGCCTACTGAAGACCGCCGTCTTCCTAAGGCTTATCAGGCTGAGGCTCTTGTTCTTTCCAAGTTTCAAAAAACTTTTGCTAAACATATGGCCGAGGCATCTGGAAAGCTCCTCGCCACGGCCACAGCCATACGTCGTCATGCGTGGTTGCGTGCATCTTCGTTGTCAGAGGAGAGTAGGTTGTTGGCAGAAGACCTTCCAATGCATGAGGAAGGTCTTTTTGACCCAGCAACGGATGAAAAAATTAAGCATTCARGGGAGGTTATGCAGGCAGCCAAGTATCCCTATCCATACTCTTACTCTTGGCAGCCTGGCGGCCAGCAGAGGCCTCGTTGGCAGCAATCAGCCCCTTTCTATCGTAAGTCCAATTATAGTGGATATAATACGATTCAGAACAATCGAAATGCTTCGTCAAAGTTCCAATATAACCGTAGGCAGAGTTTTGGTGCTAAGCCTAGGTACCAGCCATATAACCAAAACAAGGTTAAGGCTGCAGGGAATCCCAGGCGTCGTCTTTGACGACCCATCTGTTTCTGTTCTACAACTGTTRGGTTCTTTTCAGTCTGTGCCTTCTGAACCAGTTGGGTGTTTTCTGTTTAAAGATAGGCTTAGGCCGTTTGCTCGGTCTTGGGCCGCAATAACGACCGATAGTTGGGTCCTCCAAATTGTTCAGTATGGTTATTCAATTGAATTTAAGTCTCGGCCCCCGTTGGGGCAGGTAAGAGTTACTCCCGAATCCCCAGCTTTGCTGGAAGAGATTGAGAAGTTACTGAGTAAGGGCGCGATTTCGCGCGTTCACTCTTCAATGTTCAATAGGTGTTATTTTTCTCGTTATTTCTTGGTAACCAAYAAYGGTGGAGGTTTGCGTCCAATTTTAGATTTAAGGGGAGTGAACATGTATATTGATTCGAGAAAGTTTCGTATGGTTTCTCTCCCTATGATCCTTCCTTTTTTGAATAAAGATGATTGGTACGCATCAATTGATTTAAAGGACGCATATTTTCACATATCCATTGCTGAGCACCACAGGAAATATCTTGCTTTCATGGTTGGAGACAGGGCCTTTAATTTTAACGTCTTGCCATTTGGCCTTACCACAGCCCCTAGAGTTTTTACAAAATGCATGGTGGTGGTCGCTGCACATCTCAGGACTAGGGGCATTAAGGTTTATCCGTATATAGATGACTGGCTGTTGGTAGCGAGCTCATGTGACCGCCTGCGTGTGCATGTTGACACAGTTCTCTCTCTTCTCCAGTCCATAGGTCTCGTGGTGAACAGAGAGAAGTCCCACCTATTACCTGCCCGCAGAATTCAGTTTATTGGAGCCGTTTTGGACTCAACTTACCAGAAGGCGTTTCTACCAGAGGACCGTTTCGCGACACTCAAGTCTCTGGTTGTGCAAGTTCTGTGTTCAGGGGAAGTGTCAGCAAAGACAATTCAAGTGCTACAGGGGCATATGGCCTCTACAACAGCGGTCACGCCTTATGCCCGCTTGCGTTTCAGACCCATCCAGAACTGGTTCCTGTCAGTGTTCCGTCCTGGCCTAGACGACCCCCATGTGCGGTTCCGTGTGCCAGAGGAAGTGCGGACTTCCCTATTGTGGTGGAAAGACCCTGCCAATGTTACTGTAGGCCTGCCTTTTCAGCTTCCCGAACCGTCGCGTGTTGTCACGACGGATTCATCTTTAAGAGGGTGGGGAGCTCATTTCAATGGTCTCACTGCCCGAGGTCTTTGGACTCCGGAGGAGGCCACGTTCCATATAAACGTACTGGAACTGCTCGCAGTGGAAAAGGCACTAAAATCCTTCGAGATGGAGTTGTTGGGCGAGGTAGTGCAGGTGATAACAGACAATACAACGACAATGTTCTATATAAACAAGCAAGGGGGAACACGGTCCCAGACTCTGTCGAGGTTGACACTGCGTATCTGGGATTGGTGCATAGTGAGAAGGATCCATCTGATGGCCGTTCACCTCCCAGGGGAGGAGAATGTTTTGGCGGATACGCTAAGCAGGACACCCATGTCGAGCCACGAGTGGTCTCTCAATCAAAGGGAACTCAATATGATCTTCGGGATCTGGGGGTTCCGGAAATAGACCTGTTTGCATTGAAGGAGAACGCGAAATGTCCCCTTTTCTGTGCGCGCAGAAGACCCAATCTAGCACAGGGATGTCTGGGGGATGCGTTCCTTCTCAAGTGGTCAGGGGGTTTCCTCTACGCGTTTCCTCCGTTTCCCCTATTGGCGAAGGTTCTTTCGAAGTTAAGGAGGGACAGAGGGAACTGTATTCTAGTGTCACCATGGTGGCCTCGTCAACCATGGTTCTCAGTTCTTCTCGGGATGTCCAACGGGAGGTACAGGCGCCTGTCGAGCAGGTCAGACCTTCTGACTTTACAGGACGGAAGGGTTTGCTACCCGGACGTTCATGTGTTGAGGCTCACTGCGTGGAGAATTGTCCCAGATCATTAGATCCTTCCTTAGGTTTGTCTAGTCCAGTTAGGGCTATTTTAGATGCGGCGCAAAAGCCGTCTACTAAACGTTCTTATGTTTATAAGTGGGCTCGTTTCTCAAAGTTCATGTTAAGTAGGGGCTGTGACCCTGTTAGAGCGCCAATTTCGGCAGTGTTAGACTTTTTAATTTCGTTATCTGATTTAGGTTTGTCTATCTCATCCTTAAAGTGTTACCTCGCTGCCATTTCGTGGTACAGAAGGAAAGTCGGTCTGCCCTCCCTTTTTGGGGAATATTTAGTTAAACTTTTCCTCAAGGGTTACAGGAATGTTAAACCAGCAGTTGCCCCTGTTATTCCATCATGGAGTTTGGAGATCGTGCTTTCATCTCTTCAAAGTGCGCCTTACGAGCCTATGGCCACGTGTGATATTTCTCATCTTTCTTGGAAGACTTCCTTTCTTGTAGCAATAACATCGGCTCGGCGCGTTAGCGAACTTTGCGCACTTAGATCGGATGAACCATACCTCCGGTTTCACAGGGATAAGGTAATGCTCCGTACAGACATTGCCTTTCTTCCCAAGGTGACATCTCATTTTCATATGTCACAGGATATTATTTTGCCATCCTTCTTCCAGAATCCAGACTCCCCTCTGGAGCGTAGTCTCCATTTGCTAGATGTCCGCAGGGCGTTGGCGTTCTACCTTAGTAGAACGAAGGACATGAGAAAAACGCCTAGGTTATTTGTGAAGTATAGGAAAGACTCTTGCGGTTCTCCTGTGTCATCGCAGCGTCTCTCGTCATGGATAGTTTCTGTTATCAAGTTGGCTTACCAGAAATCTGGGCGTGAGATTCCTTCTGCAGTGAGAGGACATTCCACAAGAGCAGTATCTACTACGGCAGCATTTTGGAAAGGTGTGCCCTTGGACGTTATTTGTCGAGCTGCCACATGGTCGACACCGCTGACTTTTGTTTCACATTATAAGCTTGACTTGATGGCGAAGAAGGATGCGGCGTTCGGTCGAGCAGTGCTTTTTTCAGCGGTGGCATGACTCCCGCCATCCAAGGTGGGTAGCTCGCTAGTCTTATACCATTAGTGCGCATTCACAGCACAGACACGTAGGGAAAATGAGAGGTTGCTTACCTGTAACCGTAGTTTCCCTAGTGTTGTGCTGTGAATTCGCACGGCCCCGCCCATCCTCCCCGCAGTTTGTCATGCCTCCTCCTTCTGGCTGCTTTGGCGGCGGAAGAGATCTGGAGGCGGTTGGCCAGCCGCGGGCTATTTATGCTATTTGGGGAGTGTGCGCGGGGCCAACCGCTTTTTCTTTTAAAATTTAACTGAAGATTCCGGATGAGGCTGCGCATGCGCAGAGAGAGTACCATTAGTGCGAATTCACAGCACAACACTAGGGAAACTACGGTTACAGGTAAGCAACCTCTCATTTTTCAGCCCAAGTGCCCCTTGGCTTTTATTCTTGTCAAGGTTATTTATTATTTGATTCTGTTATTATCATTATTACATTTATTATTTTACTATTATTTTCCCATCGTGGTCAACTGTGAATCACACATATGGTAGTTTCTGCGCCTGAGCAGACAGCTTTGGAACCTTCAAGAAAGCCTTAGAGCAGTGGTTTTCAACTTTCCTAATGCGGCGACCCCTTAATACAGTTCCTCATGTTGTGGTGACCCCCAACCATAAAATTATTTTCATTGTTACTTCATAAATGTAATTTTGCTACTGTTATGAATCGTAACGTAAATATCCGATATGCAGGATGTATTTTCATTCACTGGACCAAATTTGGCACAAATACCCAATATGCCCAAATTTGAATACTAGTGGGGTTGGGGGAGGGACTGGTTTTATCATTTGAGAGTTGTACTTTCTGGGATTTATAGTTCATCTACAATCAAAGAGCATTCTGATCTCCACCAATGATGGAACTGAACCAGTCTTGGCACACAGGACTCCCATGACCAGCATAAAACACTAGCAGGGCATGGATCTTGAGTTTAGGAGTTGTAGTTCACCAGTTTGGGAGTTGTAGTGGGCTCAGGCAATGATGGATCAGGACCAAATTTGTCACAAATACTCAATATGCCCAAATGTGGACACTAGTGGAGTTTGGGAGAAATAGACTTTGGCATTTGGGAGTTGTAGTTGCTGGGATTTATAGTTCCCCTACAATCAAAGAGCATTCTGAACCCCACCAACAATAGAATTGGACCTAACTTTCCACAAGTAACCCAGGTGACCAAGAGAAAATACTGTGTTTTCTGATGGTCTTTGGTGACCCCTCGGACACCCTCTTGCAACCCCCCCCCCCCCCCCCCGAGGTCCCAACCCCCAGGTTGAAAAACACTGCCTTAGAGACATTTTTGGCGGTAGCCCTGCCCACTCTCCCCTTGAGTGTATAAGAGGAGTGAAGCCCAACTGAACATTCTATGGCAGTTAGGGAGTGAGCTGAAAGCAGACCAGGAGTGTCTGTCAGTGAGTCAAGCTCTGGAAGGAAATAGCCGAGGAGCAGCTGGAAAATTGGTTAAAGAAACAAGTTAAAGATAGTTGGAAACCTGTTCTTAGGTATTCACATAACAGTCCTTTTGGAAGAAAGGAATATATTGAGAGAAACTCGTATTGAAACATTGTTCTGCAAGCAATTGATCTTATGTAACCACTAAGCATATACAATAAGAATTATACAAAAAAACTAAGTAACTGTTTCACCATCAAACAAACTCTCTCCATGTATCAATTCCAGCTTGAGTCTTAAAAGGAAGAAGAAGAAAACAAACTTTTACTTCTTAGTGTCATATTTTGTTCAGATTGTCAGTGTCCCCTTCCTGACCATTTTGCATTTCTGATTAGATAAGCAAACGAAAGATCCCTTTAGCCAGGCCACGAGACCAGAGAACGAGTATCTCATATTTATTGGTGGCAGACCAGAGAGCCTCACTTGTTGCTGTTGTTGTTGTTTTTGTTTTTGTTACTTGAAACACAACAAGATGAGTCCACAGCAGACACTCTGCTGGCTGTTGTATTGGATCACACATCGGACACTTCCCAAGTGTCTAGGACTGTGTGATGTATCAGCGAATAATGCGTGCAGATCCCAGTAAGGTGGCCTTTTGCAGATGGCAGACGGTGCCAATTGTGTTTAAGTGCAGGCCAAGGACTTTATGCACTGCACCCAGTGTGCCGAACACCACTGGGACCATCTTTAGTGGTTTGTGTCACAGTCTTTGCAGTTTGAGCTTTATCATCATCATCATTATTACATTTATTATTTTACTCTATTATTATTGGAAGGCTACGTAAGGACATTTACATTGAAGAAGGTTAGAATAATGGTTTAATCAGAGTTGGACAGTCTTATCTTAAATTACAGTTTTATGTAAATATTCAAAAACATTTAACCTAAGGATGCGAACCCAATCCCCAATAAATGCCAAGGTATAATAACTGTACAGTCAAAGTTTGTTTTTCATATGTTTAACAAGCGCTGAGTGGGTACCATTCTGTAAACTTGCTTTTGTATTTCTTTTTTCTGGATTTTTTTTTTGTTTTTTTCTGGTTTCAGTTTTGCACCATAAATCAATAATAATAATAATATTTTTTTTAAAAAAAAAAAAGCCAAAAAAGATACCTGCGGATGCCTCAGTTAATGTAATTTTATTGGTCTCTATTTTTATTTTGAAATTTACCAGTAGCTGCTGTATTTTCCACCCTCGGCTCATACTTGAGTCAATAAGTTTTCCCAGTTTTTTGTGCTAAAATTAGGTGCCTCGGCTTATATTTGGGTCGGCTTATACTCAAGTATATACGATATATATATATATTTTCTTTAGGTTCCTGTACAGTAACAAGGGGCTGATTCAAGCTAAGAGAGAGGAGATCAAGAAACTGAAAGAGCAGATCACAGTTCTGCAGCAGAAATTGGAACAGTAAGTGGGTTTTCCACGCAAACTTGTGACTTTCATATCCACAGAGGCTAAACATATTGTCAATAAAGCTTTGACGTGTTCCTCAGTCTTAAAAGGGAAAACAATAGTACTTACTGTGTTTGGTTTGGCTTGAGAATGGAAGTTGTTGCTGTTGGAGGAAGCAACCTTCTCAAGCCTCCTCTATATGATGTTTGTCTCTTTTTATAATGTGTTTTATAACCCGAAGTAGAGGTCTGATTTGCAGTTTCCTTATCTCTATATACCTGAAGCAGTGGGAGGGGCTGCAGCACATGTGACTGACTCAGCGACAGTTATTCTTTTTTGTTTTTGTTTAGATATATGAGATATGGTTCTGGTGCCGGGCGCTTCCCCTTGCTAGACATGCTGCAGTACGTTCTTGAGTTTGCCAGTTCCCGGCCATTGACAGCCAATACTGAAGCCTCAACAGAGTCCCAAATTTCAAAGCCTCCTTTCATCCAAAGCAGGTAAACATCAGTATCTTTTGAGGTCAGGGAGACACTTCGGTCACTTTTCTCACTTGACAGCCTGACTTCCTGATGTGAAACTTTGGAGTCGCTTCCTTTACCTTTCCTGTTTCCTTCTTCATATGGGATTTGGTTATTTTCCTGTCGTAAATCCTGTGAATCGCACATATGGTAACCCTGCGCCTGCGCAGTTCAGTGATCGGAACCTTTTGAAAAGTAAAATGACCGTTTAGACTCCCTCTGGCCACGCACCCCCCTCCCTCATCCTATATATAGCCCGGGGCAGTGGCCGTTACTCAGTTCTCTTCTTTCCACGCTAAAGCAAACAGCGGAGGAACCTTACAGTAGATAAACAACAAGATTGTCTACAAGGAATATTTATTACTCTGTATAATGGCTACCACAGCCTTTAAAAAATGTATGAAATGTCCAAATATTCTTCCGGACACAGATGGACATTCGCTGTGTCTGGAGTGCCTGGGTGAGGGACATCTCTCTCAGCCTTGTGAGATCTGCGCTGCCTTTACTCCTCAAACGAGGAAAAATAGATTGTCCCGTTTAAGAACAGCGCTTTATGAGAAAGCATTGCGGCCACAACCCACTCAACCGCAAGAAACTCCAAGTGAGCAACCCTCCTTACCTTTAGGGGGAAAGAAGAAGGTTAAAAAAATCAAAAATAACAGCCTCCAAAATGGCCGCCAAACCGCCGCGCTGAAAAAAGCTCCGGCAAAGAAAGCAATACCCTCCAATGTGGATCGTGAGGGAGAAAGACCAAACAAAACAAAAAGAGACTTGAGCCAAGCCGCTAAGGGCATTGAAGGCTCCAACGCAGCGAATGCAATCCTTTCAGAAATGCCTCGGGTATATGCTGATGGAGGGGCGATGACCAATGGTCTGACCCCCCCGATGCCGCTGCTGTCCCCAAACGCACAAGGAGGAGTTTGCGCGGTGGCTCCGTTCACTCCCGATACCGGCTCCACCTCTGAGGCTAATCCCGCCCTCCCCTCAACTAGCCACGCCTTCGAGGGCGTGTATAATGGGCCTCCCGCTTCCAGGTCTGATGAACAGGCCCCGCCTCGCCCGGTATCGGAAGGCGCTGCCGACCGAAGGGGACAAGAACCTCCTCTAAGAGGTGGGGAAGAGGCACAGATGGGAGAGAATCGCCCGAGCGTCGCAGCGCTAGGGACAACATCCTCCCTGAGTTCATGGCCCGCCTTCACATTTCGCCGCCCTAGCAAGCGGCCTAGACGCTCGAGGTCCCCATCGCGACGTCATGGATCCAGGCGGAGGTGGTACCGATCGGCATCGAGGAGGGGCCGCCGTTCGCGATCCTCCTCCTCTTCCTCATCCACCTCCTCCTCTTCCTCATCCTCCTCCTCCTCTTCTAGGCGTCGAGGAGGCACAACCGCTCCAGATCTGCTAGATCCTCAAGTCACTGGAGGGGATATGGCCCTGGAGCAATGCCCTTTCCAGGATTTTGGCAAATGGGTCCTTCAGGCCAATTGATGTTTATACAACAGCCACTGTCGAGACCACCATCAGTGCAGAGACAAACCCCTATGTTACTCAATAGACAAGATACAAATGTGGAAAGACAAAACACCGCTACTTCTCTGCCTACTAATATCAATAATAGTAATAATGTAACCCACATGAGATCTGGCGATGGGAGACGTATAGTACAAGATACTGCAGTTACTCCTTTGCCTATTATTAATGATAATGATAATACTATATCCTACAGAAGGCTTACAGTGCAGGAGGCGACAGCAACTCAAGGGGCCGCACATGATGGAAACCCTATAGAGAGCAACCAAGTTAGAGGACAAGAACTACATGTTGCAGCTGTTACTACAGCTTCTACATCCACTCAATCACATGATGTCCAGAACTTGATGAGTGTACAAGCAGCACCTGGACTTGCACCAGATATTGCAACAACTGAACTGAATGACACGGCATCAGATTCTGACTCCCCAGATACAATTCAAATGGGGGGTGAGGAAAACAATGGTGTTCAACCAACAGACTTTAGTAGATTTAATGCACTAATGGAAAGAATGATAAAAGAGCTTGGAATCCCAGCTCCAAAACCACCTGCACATGTTGATGACCCAATGTTTCCTTCCGAAGAACAAAATGTTTCCCCTTCAATGTCATTGCCAGCGCTGCCATATTTACTGAAACTTGCTAAGATTGTAGATGTATCCCCCTTTTTGGTTCCAGCTGTACCTAGAAGGCTGGATTCCATGTATAGAATTGATGTTTCTGCATTTAAACGGGTTGCTACTCCCCTGAAACCAAACACGGTAGTAGCTGAGGTGGTAAAGTCAAAGCGCCCTAAGGGCACCCTAACTACACCTCCAGATAGAGAGGGCAAGAGGATTGATTCTTTAGGCAAAAAGGCACATATGGCTGCTGGGTTATTTACCCGCATGGCCCACTTTGCAACATACATGAGTGGATATCAGTCTTATTTATGGAAAAAGATCTTTCCCTACGTGTCTGTGCTGTGAATGCGCACTAATGGTACTCTCTCTGCGCATGCGCAGCCTCATCCGGAATCTTCAGTTAAAATTCAAAAAGAAAAGCAACTGCAATTAGAAGGCACGCATGGTTACGTGCTTCCAATCTCTCTGAAGAAGGGAAGGCTTTAGCAGAAGACCTTCCCTTTCACGATGCGGGGCTTTTCAACCCAGACACTGATGTCAATATAAAAGAGAAGCAAGATGTCCGTCAAGCCGCTAATAAATTCGGCTACACGTGGCAACCCTTCCAGCAACAAAGGCCTAGATGGCAACAGCAATCTAATAGTTACCGTAGATCATATGGCAATTATTACTCTGGCCCCTTTAGGAATAGGGGCAATGGATCATCCAGGTTCCAAGGGGGGAAAAGGAATCCATACTTTCCCAGGAATAGGGCACAGCCATATCAAAACAAACCCAAGGGCCAATTTAACCAGAAGAAGCGTCTTTGACGACGCAGAACTGGAAATTAACACCAACAGTATAGCTCCCCTGTTGGGCAACAATAGACTTGATGTTGAAGTTAATGTGTTAACGAGTTCTTATCCTCTGAAGTCAAATGTTCCTATGTTTGGGGATAGACTGAGTATGTTTTACGATGCCTGGTGTAATATCACCACGGACAAATGGGTTAGATCTATTGTTGGTTCAGGTTACTGTATAGAATTTAATGACCTACCTAGAGTGGGCAATGTTAAAAGAACACAAGAATCCACTCCTCTCTTAGAGGAGGTAAATATGTTGTTGGGAAAGGGGGCAATTTCTCCAGTAAGTGTTGACAAAGTTAAGTTCTGTTTTTTCTCGAAATACTTTCTGATTAATAAACGTGGAGGTGGTCTACGTCCGATTCTAGATCTCAGAGCTGTAAATACCCACATAACTCCAAAAAAGTTTAGAATGATCACACTGACCTCAATTTTACCCCTTATTCCAAAGGGAGCATGGTTTGTCACAATAGATTTAAAGGACGCATACTTCCATATATCGATAGCTTCATAAAATGTATGTCTGTAGTGGCCGCATGTCTTCGGACAAAGGGAATAACTGTGTACCCATACGTTGACGACTGGCTGGTAGTAGCCAGATCGCGTGAGCAGTTGCAGGACCAAGTGTCTACCATTTTGTTTCTCCTCCAGTCGTTGGGCCTCGTAGTCAACTGGGAGAAGTCGGTCCTAACGCCCACCCGCAAAATCCAGTTCGTCAGCACCATGTTGGACTCCTTTTCGGAGAGAGCGTTTCTTCCAAGGGACAGGTTTGCAAACCTACAAGCTCTCGTCAAACAAGCGAAAGCCTCATCTTGCATTTCGGCAAGAAAGGTCCAAGTATTACTAGGTCACATGGCAGCCACTACTTCAGTCAACCATTATGCGAGACTCAGAATGAGAACCCTACAGTCATGGTTCCTGACAGTATTCGACCCGCTGACGAGCAGTCCAGAGTTGAAGCTCTTCCTCCCACCCGTGGTCCGCGACTCTCTAATTTGTTGGGAGGACGAAGCATGGGTTTGCTCTGGGTTCCAATTCCACCATCTATATCCTACCAGGATTATCGTCACGGATTCCTCCCTTATGGGATGGGGAGCACACTCCCAGGGACTCATTGCACACGGTGTGTGGTCAAGGCAGGAAAGAGACATGCACATAAACATACTGGAACTTCTTGCAGTAGAAAGGGCTCTACACTCCTTCGAAAGGGTCATTCTGGGTCAGGTAGTCCACATCATAACAGACAACACGACAGTAATGTTTTACTTGAACAAACAAGGGGGGACGCATTCGAGAGAGCTGCTGGCTCTCTCAATACAAATTTGGGACTGGTGCATAGAAAGGAACATACATCTCTTGGCGAGTCATCTTCCAGGGGAACAGAACACACTCGCAGACGCACTAAGCAGAAACCCACTAGTGCACCACGAGTGGTCACTACATCCACAAGAAGCACACAGACTATTTCTAGCGTGGGGATTCCCGGAAGTGGATTTATTTGCAACGAAAGCCAATTCCAAATGCTTTCTGTATTGCGCCCGACAACGAGCCCATCCAGAGAGCGGGTGTCTGGGGGATGCCTTCCTGATGAGGTGGACAGGACGGCTATTGTACGCCTTCCCGCCAATTCCCCTCCTGATGAGGGTCATAGCGAAGATTCAGGAAGACGGAGCCAGATGTATAGTAATCACTCCATGGTGGCCAAGACAGCCGTGGTTTTCTCTTCTCCACCAGATGGCCAGAGGGGCATTCGTCCGCCTACCGTGCAGGGCGGACCTTCTCACCACACAAGAGGGTCAGGTCTTGCACCCAGAGGTGGACAAGCTGAAGTTAACTGCGTGGCGAGTCCTCCCAGAACACTGACGGCCTTTTCTAGCCTGCCACAGTCTGTACTAAAGTTTATTGAGGCGGCACATAGGACGTCTACACGACGCTCCTACATCTATAAATGGACTCGTTTCTCCAAATTTTGTAAAGGGAGACAGTT